TTTAAACTTATGCATCATCTTAGGATGCATGGTGGTGAATCACTAAGGATCTCTGTCTGTTTGACTCTGTCTCTGTCGATCTCAGGATCAAAAGGACAAATATCATTCAGGTCTTTTTATTTTTTTGTTTTTTGTTTTTTTTGGTACTGGGGATCAAACTCGGGACCTTGTGCTTGCGAGGCAGGCAGCGGAACCACTGAGCTAAATCCCCAGCCCCCTAATTCAGGTCTTTTTACCAGCAACCTCTGTGTTTCTCTTGGATAACAAGTCAGTTTTAATCTTCTGAACATTTAAGCCATAGAAATAATTACATTTCTCTCTTTGCCCTGGTCTAAATCAGGAAGGTCAGAGCAAAATTCATAACCGAGCCCCTCCCCACCTCTTAAGCCAATACACAGGACTTACACTATTAATTTTATATATTCATACCTTTCCCTAACTTTCTTAGGTTTCTCGCCTTTATTTTCCCTTTGTCATGATTACTGTACTTGCTTTGTGAAAAAGCTCTAGTTACAAGGCATTTTTGTACGCGACTGCAAAGTCTTTTGGGAACATGTGGGATACATTTAGGCAAATTAATTAAATATAGTTATTGAAATGCAGCTCTTCACGGCAGAAGGGCTCCAAGGCAGATGGTGACGAGCAAGGAGCTGAGACCTGGGCTTGGAACCTCTTCGGCTTTGGGGTCAATACCCCAACAGGAACCTCCCTTCCAGCTCCAGGTGTCGCAGAACATCTGGAGGCCTATCAGGACTGCATGTTAAGTACGTTTTAAGATTATCAAAACTGTTAAGTGAAATAAAAACAGCTCTACACTTTCAAACTGTGGAATCGCAACATCTAATTCTGTATCTATTTTCCACTTTGCCCAGGAAATCTGCACACAGAACTTCTAAAATTCTGGTCCTTTGGGAAATCCATCAAGTTGGGCTTGGGAACTCACATATGCAAGTGACAATGACACTGGACGTCTGCAGCCTGACGTAGCAGGTGATATAAATGGGTCATTGACAGTGGTTGAACATTACTCCAGCTGTTTAAAATATACACAAGGTAAGTGTCCCTTATCCAAAATGTTTTGGATTAGAATTGTTTTGGATTTGGGATTTATTTTCAGATTTTGGAATATTTCCATATACATAGTGAAATATCTTGGGGATGAGACCCAAGCCTAAACACGAAATTTGTTTATGTTCCACACACACCTTATACACATACCCTGAGGGTAATCTTAAACAGTATTTTATTGGGGGGATACCGGAGATTGAACTTGGGTCCTCGCGCTTGGGATGCAGGTGGCAGAATCACTGAGCTAAATACCTAGCCCTTAAAAAGTATTTTTAATTTTGTGTATCAAACAAAATTTCATGGAGTAGAATTTTCCACTTCCGGCATCATGTCAGTGCTGAAAACTTTCTGGATTTTGGAGTAGTTTGAGTTTCAGACTTGGGATTTCCAGAATAGGGATGCTCCAACTAGCAATTTTTGAAAGTCCTGGCTACTCCACACAGTTCGCACTGTATGCTTCCTCCATGCTTTTCAACTAAACTACCCAAATACTATCTGTTCCCAAATGTGAATGAAAATGACTGCCATCTGCCATCGAAATGCTTTCTGTGTGAGGACCTGCTCTCCTAGGCACAGAGACAGGAGCACTTCTGATATGGCCAGGACTCCATGGGGTGCAGTCGCTGGGTCCGAGGGACCAGAGCTCCGGCTGGAAGGAAAGACGCTCTCTGCTTGAGGTGAGCAGCATATGTATCATGCACTGCTGACATACACAGGGCCTCACTCTCTCTCCTGCCACTTACTCAGCCCTTCTGTTTTGGGAGAGTGAGAACCAGCCAAGGGACCCCTGGCTGGCATAGCAGGGTGTCTCACACTAGGCCCCAGCCTTATGTGCATGGCAATGGGGACTGAGGTCAACTGTTTTTGTTGGGATTTCTTTCACACAACAATTTAAGGACAAGGATCTTATTTATTAAAAAGTTAAGAGCTATGAGGAACATATACTAGATTCAAGGAAGAGTACAACTTAGAGCTTCCCTACTCTAATCCTTCAGTAGTCCAGGGTCTTAAACCCTGCCATTTGACACGCCTGCAAGTATTATTGCTCAGATCCCTAAAGATCAGAAGTTACCCCTTAACAATAACCTAATGAATATAAAGTGGAGGCTATGCAATTTAATTGGTTTTGTTCTTTTGTGTATTTTATTTTGTACAAACAATACATTATTACAGCAAGTATAAAACAAATGAAAATCTATCCATGATTTCACAGCTTAAATAACCACGATGAACATTTTAGCATTACCTTTTAGATCTTTTGCCTGCGCTATGCAAATGTACGGTGTGGGTGTGTATGTGTAAAATTTTAATTTGACCCTTGAGTTGGAGTTAACTTCAGTAAGACAATGGACCACACACATAAAAGTCCTGGGGCGATGTTTTATGCTAGAAGCCAGGCCCTACAGCTTCCTGAAAGGACCCTGAGAAGACATGGATCCACCAAATGGTACTAAGTCTGAGGGTTTATCATATATCAGGCACAAAAGGAGAACCATATAAATCTTCCCTGGGACCTATCCTGAGATGTCTACACCCCATTTCACAGATAGAGAGACTGAGACCTGGAAAGGCATAATACTGCTAGTGAACAGAAAAGCTGGGGTATGAGGCCAAGGACTGATCTCAGTAGGACAAAAAAGAAGATAGCAGTCCTGTGTCACTTAATGTTAGGGACATGTCCTGAGAAACACCAGTCTGTCACTGTGGAACATCGTGAGTGCACTTACACACCCCTAGATGGTGAAGGTCAATGTCTCACCATCGCCTCTCGATGCCATCCAGACATGCATACAGTTGCTGCTGCTCAACACTATGTACTGTTTTAGGGTCAACCTTATTAATAAATAGAAGGAGTATGCTTTAAAATAGTCATCAAAAGGATAGCGTAGTAAATGCGTAAACTCTACGACAGTTGTTTACTATTATCATCAGGTATTATGGCCTTTACATCAAGTATTATGCTGTACTTTTATCTGGCTGGCAGTGCAGTAGATTTGTGGATACCAGCATCACCATATACACGAGCAATATGTTGCACCGTGACATTAAGATCCGACAATGTTACTTGTCCATAGGAACTTCTAAGCTCCATAATAATCTTATGGGTCTACCAGTGTATGCCCAGTCTGTCATTGACTAAAACCACAGTAATGTTTCGTTACTCCTCTCTATTACAATAAGGAATCTTTGCTTCCTACCCATCTTTGTGAATATACCAAGGACAGAAGGGAAGGTGGCTCTGATTGAAAAGAAGGCAGGAAAGGAGAGTAGGACTGGCCTGGGGCAGGGTACCTTTTGCCTGATTGAGCCCAGTTTGCTTGTCTGTTCAAAGGGTGTGCCCAGTGAGGTATCTAAAAAAACCTCCCACCCTGCTATTCTGACTCCAGTTAATTCCTGCACAAACACAACACATACAAATGGGAAGCAGCATTCTGCTGCTACCACCAAAATCACGTTCCCAGGTACGTTGGAAAAAAAGTAAACAATTTTATTATACATGGGGGGCCAAATTAGAACAGAGAGAATGGGCTAGGCAGGAAGAACTTCAGAGTTATAAACTCAGCAAAATCAAAACATGGGTACCTATCCACAAACGTATTGTGATATTGTCTTAACTCTTTAAGGAAAACAAAAGAAATGTGTCTCTGAAGTATGACAGCATTAGAACATCTGGCCCAGGGACACGTGTCAAATAAAATCCAAGTCTGAGTATCACTGATTGAAAATGCTAGGGACCAGAAGTATTTCTGATTTGGGATTTCAAAAAACAATTTGCATATACACAGATATATCTTGGGCACAGGATCCAAGTCTAAACATGAAATTCATTAATGTTTTTATATGCATAGCCTGAAGGTAATTTTATACAATATTTTCAGTGTGCCTGTATCTTGGCTCTGACCCATATTTCATGAGGTTAGGTGGGAAATTTTTCACTTGAGGCATCATGTTGGTGCTTGAAAAGTTTCAGATTTTGGAACATCTTAAATTTTGAATGTTCAGAATACGGTTGCTCAATTTTTATTAATAAAAAAATGATGCTAAGTTTTCTTTTTGTAATACATTCTTAAATGATTTGAAAACTTAAGAGGCAGCATTAACCACTTAGTATTTACAAAGGGCTGATGTATGGAGACTTTCAGTTTAATTGAAAGTAACAAATGGTTCACTGATCTGGGAGGCCGTGGTGCCCATCTTAATCATTCTGACAAATTCTGCAGAGGAAGAATATTCTTTTTTCCAGTCGACCGCCAAGGTACAACTACAGTTACATGTGCCTTCAGTTAAAAAAGGTCTTAGTTATTTGGTATCCCACTGGAAATTAGAAATCTCAGTCAAATTGGTGAACTTGCATTTTCAAATCTCAAAAGTTTGTTTTCTTCACTAGCAAAATGCTTGTATGAAGTTTTAATGTCTAAATAATTTCTAAATCGGGCCAGGGATTTAGCTCAGTGGTTCCATCGCCTGTCCCACAAGCACAAGGACCCAAGTTCGATCCCTGGTACCAAAAAAAAAAAAAAGGGAATAATTTCTAAATCAATTACTTTACCAAAGCAGTTATCTATCAAGATGCTGTGACAGAATGAGAAAACACTTTCTACACAAAATTTTAAAATTTGCATCATTCACCAATGTACTTTGGCAAAGACCTCAAAGTTTTTGCTAAAGGGCTTTAATTTTTTTCCCCTAATTTCATGTCTACTCACATAAATTCATCTTAACCTACATTTGTGAACCTAGCTCCGGTTATGAATTTTTTTCAACCGACTCTGGGGAAAGATTGACATTTTCATAATCTTTGCCAGCTGGTCTGTTCCAAATGGAATCTAAATATTGTATTAACAGTATCAATAACTAGCAGGTTCAGAGGGCCTTCACAAAACACGCTTGAATTGTTAGACAAATTCTTGTTACTTTGTGTTCCACTCAGCTCTAAATTACTGCATTGATTTAGCAAAATCTATGCCAATCCTATTTTTTCATCATGTAAGAATTCTGAGGTTCACTACATGTACATAATAGAAAGCTGAAATCAAATAGGTGTAACGAAATAATTGTTGCCCACTCACTTTTGAAACTTTTAAGTGAAGTCATAAGTATCCGGCAAAGTCCAAATGTACGTCTAAATGAATCTTCCTAAACTAGTTGTGCATGTGACCAGCACCCAGATGAACAGCTGAGAGGGCTGTTGGCCCCTCCTGAGCCCAGCCCCTGTCTTCTAGCTCTCCAATCACTACCTTGCATCCCAAGGATATCCAGAGCCACTGTCCCTGGCTGGGCCAACACCAAGCCAATGAGATCATATGAGAACTGGACTCAAAAGAAGAGTGAGAGCCTAAAGGGGTTCACAAGGAAAGGGATCCCCATGAGATTCCACCATCAGGGACTGGGCTGTGCCCACTCCACTCAGTGTCACTCCAAACCATGAGGATGCTGGCTCTCGCTCTACCCAAACAGAGTCAGTTCCCTCTCATGTAGGACTCTCCGTGGGTATTTTCATCTGCAAATCAAAATTCTCAAAACACTTCTCTGTCTCCTCTCATATCACTGCTACAATCATTTCTACTGAGGAGGATAGCAACACCTTCCATTTACTCACTGTTCATAAGGTGACACAGTGCAAAGTACATACACATCTCCAGTATGTTCAGAGTCGGACAAGGAACCTACTAGCCTAATTCCTTGCGTGCAGACACAGCCTTTGCATTCATGATCTCATTTAAAAACTGAATTGTGGGGCTGGGGGGTTAGCTTAGGGTTAGAGCACATGTGTAGCAGCTGTGGGCTCCTCGGGTTCAATCTCTAGCAAACTTGCTTCTCCCAAAACTACAAAGAAACTGTATCGTGAAGATCCTGTATGAAGTACAGAGCAGATGTTCATAGCTCTACTGGGTGAGAATCTTTCCATCTCAAGAGATCTTTTTCTTTTGGGGACTGAACTTAAGAGCCTTCACACTGAGCTACATCCTAAGCCTTTTTTTGAGACAAGGTCTTGCTAAGTTGCTCAGGCTCTAACCTGTGATCCTCCCACCTCAGCCTCCCAGCAGCTGGGATTACAGGCCTGGGCCACAATGCCTGGCTTCAAGAGATTTTTAAAAATCTAATACATCGTAAGTCTTTATTGTCTTCTGTGACTGGAAAACCAGGGACTGTGATACCTTTCAAATGACATTGTGTCCTATTCACTATCTGTCTCCAACTCAGCTGTCTCTGGTGGAAATGGGCTGCACACGCATTCCTCTGCCAGTAGCCACACAGGCTGTAACACCAGCCTTGAATCTAGCACTTCCCCACTGTTCCAAGGAGAAAGTCTGAGAATCACTGTAACTAGGCCAGGTTTACCTGCCCACCCTGACCCCTCACTGTGGCTGAAGGAATGGGAAAGCAGACTGGCTTAATCTGGGGGTGGAGATATCACCTGGACAGATGGGGGGCACTTTCCAAGAAATTGAAAGAAAACTATTACAGGAGTACAGATATTTAAAAAAATAATTAAAACAAAGTGAGGGACACAAAAAGGTTAGGCAACATACCCAAGTATACACAGCTAGTGAGCACAAGGTCTAAGGCCAGAATGCAGATCTTCCTGTTTGAGATTCTTCCAGTTTTTTTTTCCTTCATGATAATTGCTATTATTTACGGGTATACAGCACTGCCAAGGTCTCAGGGCATAGAGCACTGTTGCTCAAGTTAAAATAATTTCTCAGGGGCCCAGAATCTTAGATAATGACAACATTCTCTTTCCCTAGTAGAATGGGGACTGTTGAACCAGACTGCCTGGGCTACACCTGCCTCACTGCAGGTGAAGAAGAGACGGGGCGTGGGATACAGCTACACATTACCAGGTATTAACCTGGGGCAGCCAACCCTGGGGTCTTCTCAAACTTCCCTAGCAGCCAAAGTTGACTCGCACAGTCAACTTCAGAGTACAGTGGGCTTAGACACTTGGTGTATGTATTGTAGCTTGTGCTGTGTGATTTAAACAATAGACTGGGTGTCTTTTAAAAATTGCAATCTATTTTCTCACAGTTCCAGAGGCTGGAAATCGAAGCTCAAAGAGTTGACATGCTTGGTTTCTCAGAAGCCTCTCTCCTGAGCTTGCAGATAAAACACCTTCTTGCTGTGTCTTCTCAGGGTCTTTTCTCTGCATGCCACATTCCGGGTGTCTCTTTCTCTTCTTAGATTGGGGCTCCACTCTTCCTGTCATTTAAACTTAATTACCTCTTCTATGGCTCTATCTCCGAATTCAGTCTGATTGGCGGTTGGGCTTCAACATACACATTTTGGAGGGACACAATTCAGTCCAGAACAGGGAATTACAGGCATATAGTTTACAAATTTTCATGAATTTCCTACAGTATGCTTGGGATAGAGGTCAGAAAACTTCCAGCCTAGTGAGAGAGAGAAATGAAGACACAAACTCCTTAGTGGTTCTTGTCATGGTAGAAGGGCTCGGATTCCAGGATAAAGAAGTCTAGAGTCAGGGAAGACTTTGCAGGGGGCTGTCACCCGGGCAGCAAAGGCTGCTGTTACTGCATCTCCTAAATCTACCCTCCTGAACTCCTTGATATGCTCAAGAACACACATTTCAATTACAATGTAATTTCAGTCCCCAAACCCAAAAAAGGTTATTATTGTATCTGCAGCAATGGCAAAAACACATTTAACTATGCTCACTAGGTAATGAGGCCCATGCCAAAGGCACCGACCACAAACCCGTGCACAGATGGTACAATAGTGTGTGGTGCACATGTCTCTGAAAGCACAGGAGAAATATAAACCGGGATGGAGATGGGAAACATCACTATCTCCACATTCTCAGCAGCTGACCTTATTCCTTACAGGAAAGAAGATGTAGAGAAGAAAACAAAGTGCTGTGGTCAGATTCTGATATGTGCAGTGGTGAGTGGGTTTGACCTGCAAAGCAGAGTGGTTAGTGGGGCTCCGGATGGATGGTGCAGTGTAAGTCTTATATCTAAATCAGGCCTATTGGGAAAGGTGAAGAACTAACAGCAGACAACATGGATGAGTGTTCTAGGATGTGGTGACAGGGCAGGGTGGCCAGGATCACTTGACTTGCAGAAGTCATACTGGAACTGCTGGAAAGGCCTGCGAGCAGCTGGACTGACAGAGCGAGGGGACTGTGGCTAATCGGCAGGTGGAGGTGAGGTGACAAAGGTAGGGAGCCAGGGACAGTGATGGGGCAGAGGACAGAAGAGCTGGAGGCTCGGATTACCATTCGTCTAGGACGCCTCTGGATTGCTCTCATTATCCAATCTACTCAGGAAAAATAGTAATAATCACATCTGAAATCAGTATAATTTGAAGAGTAATTGACTAATGAAAATCCAGCTCAGAACCAGAGATAGTGCCTCTTCAATCTCACTTGCTAGTTCCCAACTTAATTTTTAAAATTAAGACACATCTAATGAGACTCAAGACTGTTTGCAATGAATCCAAAATGTAGTGAGGGGAAGAAAAGATGCTAAATGAGAAAATGTGTTCCGCTTCAAAAGCTATCATACCGTGCACACAGGATGGAGGGCTGAGGCCGTGAGGGGTGGACAGAGTACATGTGTCAAAGACCTTGGAGAAAAATGAGCGCTATTGTGCTACAGATTTGAATTTGGCAATCCCTCATAAAATATACATGAACATGCACTTACATTTGTATGCACCTCCACATACCTATAGCTAGGGGATCACACGCACACACGCATGCACACACACGAGCTGCTTGGCTTGGTCAAATACTTGAATTTGAGTTTCTGTCTCTTCATCCATAAGATTGAGACAACACCATCAACATTTCAAGCAATAAAAGAAATAATGTGAAAGCTAGTGCTTCATGCTATAATGGGGGTGTGAATGTTAGGTATTATTATTATTATTATTATTATTGTTACCACCAAGATCTTACTTTGTTTGCTTACAGCAAGTCCCATCACTGGAAAACTCTTCAGCTCACTTGGTATTCTTTTTTTTTGGTACCTGGGATCGAACTCAGGACCTTGCACTTACAAGGCAGGCAGCGGCATCACTGAGCTAAATCCCTGGCTCTCACTTTGTATTCTTGCAAGTGACAGCTAAACCACCAAGGGTGCCTCCTAGGACAACAGAGAGGGTATACTTTCATGGGCATACAAAAGTCATCAGAGAGAGAGACACACAGAGAGACAGAGAGGGAGAGAGAGAGAGAAACAGAGAGATATTAAATTTTTTAATTGATGTTAATTTAGAGATGCCTTATTAGTCAGGACTCGTTTATATGCAACACAAATTTACTTCAAGCTGTCTTATGTACAAAGGAGAGTCATCAAGTTCAACCAGAAGGGTGGCACTCATCTTTGTTTCTTTGTGTGACTTCTTTTGTACTGCTAGATGCTACATGAAAGGATTGTGGTGCCAGCACATCCTTTTGGGCTCCCAGGCCCCAGGCCTGAGAGTTCCCATAAGAAGCTGGTACCTCCTACTTGGAATTTATGTTGAAAGTGGAGGGAGTAAGGCAGGCAGTGAGTCCAAGAGGAAAAAGATGCCCTGACATGGCAGCTTGTATGTGTCATCCCCAGGAGTCGCCCTACCAGAGACCCCTGTGATGGGTTCCGATCTCCTGCTCAGTGTTACCACGAATGGTTAAAAGAAAAACTCAAAGGCAGAACTAAAGAGACAGAGATATGGGAAGCCAAGATGACCAATGCTCGTGCAAGCAAGGCTGAACGAGAAAGGCCCTGAACCCTCAGAGCTGTTGATATTTTTTGGTTACATCATAGTTACACTGAGGTAAGGGGGCTATGTGAGGGACTATTTGGAATTGCGATGGATCCGTTGCTGATGCAGGCAAGGATTGTAAAGGAAGAGACAAAGCATTCCTGAATTAGGAACAGAACAGTCAAAATATAGGCTGTGGTTAATAATTAACCTTGTCTTTTTAGCAAAGAAGATTTTAACTCTGGGAACGGAATTTGGGTAAGAGTCACTCTGACCTCAGCACATAGGCTTCGGCCAGACTCACTTCTATAAACAAGCCAATTGCATGGTTAACTCTTTACAGCCTGCACTACTCACAGCCTGCTTTGGGCATAATCATTAGAGCGGTCCCCCATATCACCCCAATATGTGCCTACAAGGCTGCAAAAGTTTAAAAGTGAAAACTCTATTCATAATTATTTCATTCCCAAATCATGGCAAGCCATTGAGACTGAAGATTCTCAAAGTCTGAGAAATACAAGACACAAATGATCAACACCAAATTGGCCTTTGCACATGTCCCAGGCTTCCTGTCTCTTATGAGGACACCATCAAAACCTTGTTCAAATGTGGGAAATGAATCCACAGCAAGATGTTGGGTCAGAAAATCTCTACTGGCAGACTTCATCAAGGCAAAGACCTGTGGTTCAAACACCTCTCTGTAATTTGTATCAAATAAGCCAAACCAGACCATCACGGATGTGTCCCAACCAACATGTGCTATGGTAACCACCAGGGAGTGGACAAGTTCAACATGACCCAGCTATGGTGTTCTAAAGTTCTTTATCACTGCAATCATGGCTGGCTATCTCTCTGTCTCCCCCCAACCCAAATCTCTGAAACCGATCTTTGTAAAGGTCTCGGTCTAATTCTTATTCCGACATAATCAAGGGGAATAAGCAAATGCAACAGACATACAGATCACAAGTAATTCCAGCCCATCCTTGAGGAGGAATCTTCTTTATCTGTCATATTTCTGCAGGATCTCACTCACTCAAAAGTATCAAGGAGAACAGCTACGAAGGACTCAAGTTCTATTCTTCCTGTGAGCATCCTGTGTTTATTTGCCTGAAGACACCAGGAGCTGCAAAGAAACTAAACAGTCCTAAATATTCCTAAAGGCATATTTTCAGTTTAACTGGGAAAGGACTGTTTTAAAAACATGATTGTTGTTTTTGTTGTTGTTCGGGGATGGAAGGTACTGAATACCTTAGGAAATTACAGGACGCCACACAGATGCTAACATAAACATAATTAACTCGATTTATTGAAAACCCAATAATCACCGAGCACTGTGCAAGTTTCTATATATGGTATCTTTTAATTCTTACACGTTCCATGAAATGACTACTACTATCTATTTGACAAGAAAGGGAAGGCTCAAACCAATCAGCTGAACTGCTCTAGGTCATGTAGCCAGTAGATGCCAGAGGTTGGTCCCTGGCCAGCTCCAAGGTTCATATTCTTCTCTCCAGGTCTCACTGCCTCCTCTGGAGTGAGGTCAGGGACGATGGCATCTGCTCCTGGAAGACCTACTAAGTGTCGGAGTGCTGTACACATCATCACTTGCATTTTATAGTAACTCAGAGAGGCTTATGAAACTTTTTCAAAGTCAGACAGCAACTAGGCAGCAGGGCAGGGATGGGACTCAGTATGCCTGATTTGAAAGCTGAGGTCACTAATCCTCTGCCTGTATAAGGCCGACATTCACAAAGGCCAACAGGAGAGCTGGGTGGATGGAAACAACAGGGAAAGAGAGGCAGGGTGGGTGGTGGGAAAGACTTTTATTCTGGAGGCTCAGATAGGGCAATGATAAGAGCATAAGTACCCATGCCACATGCCCCCCTCCCCACCCCACAGCAGGTACCTGGAGCTCTACACCATACCTTCTGGTCATCAAAGGAATAAAAAAGAACAAAACTTGATCTCTTGCATTTTACAGGTGGATGCTTTTAAGTACACTGCTAAAACTAATATAAGCATCTTGCTCAGAATGAATTCTAAAACATTCTTCTTCTCCATTAATTCTCTTGGCAACTTAATAAAAGTATCTCTATACCCGAGTATGGTTACACAGAACTTCAAGGGGGAATGACTTTTCCAGTTGTGCTTTGAGGCTGAGCTCTTCAGTTCAATATGATCTAAGGTTGTTTTATCTTTATATTTTATAATCTGATACAATTTAATAGAAAAACATTTTAAATGCTCAAAAATTGAACTATAAGGAAATATTACTGTTGATGAACTATAGTTGGTATACAGTTATCCATATCTACCAACAAAAAATTCACATAGACTAAAATAAAATATTCATTCTGTTAAGGAGTAAGTAGTTCCTCCTATTATCTTAATTGTTCAAAGACTAATTTTAGGATTTCCCTTCTCCTTTATCCAGTCTTTAAAACAATAAACTGTGTTAAACACCCCTGTGTGGGGACAAGAAAAGAAAGCAAACACCTTAATTACTTCAATGAAAGACAAGGTATATATTCATTTCCATCTCTCCATATTGTCATTGTAAATTGCTTTTAAGCAGTTTAACAGTTCTCCCCCATTCCCATTCTATAAAACACTGGAGAACATCTAAGTTTGCATTTGAAGTGGAAAAATGTTTAGAAATATTTATGTTACTTTAAACTATGAATTGATATGAGTACAGGCTTCTGACCTTGGCTCTGTGACCTGAAGCAGCACAGTTATTTCAGGACTTATTTTTCCTATCTACAAAATGAGAGTACTAATACCTAGTATATAGGCCCTGTATACAAAATGTGCCCAGTGAGACACAAAAGGTCACATATGATGTGACCCCATCATAGGAAATGTCCAGAAGAGGTAAATCCACAGAGACAGAGGTTAGTCTGAAGGTGAGGGGAACATTTTGGGTAGAGGTCCCCCTCAAGGTGATAGAACTCTCTAGAATTAGTTAAAAGTGATGGTTATACAACACTGACTGTTAAATGCTGCCAAACTGCATGCTGTAAAATGGTTACTCTTGCTATATGAATTCCCCTTCAATTAAAAAAAAACACCTAATGAGTATTATATCTACATGATGAAATTGTGAGCAATTTTTATTTTCATTTTTTATATTATTGTCTATTTCCTATAACAAAGATGTATTATTCTGTTAACAAATTAATGGGTATTCTTTGGTGGGAAAAAAAAATCAAATAAAAAGAATTAAAATAATCCTGACACAGGATATGCTAACACAGTAGATTCCTGAAGCTTTTTGTTAGATCTTGTTGACATCCTTCCCTTCGGGGAAGGGTTCCTGCCTCTTCCCTCTTTCGAAACTGCGCCCTTCACGTCAGTGATTTGCCTCGATTTCTGATGAACCCACTGCTCCTTCAGTATCGCCCATCATCCTTGTCCCAGCCACCAGGCCCTGTTAGTCGAGGTCTTCATACGGGCCACACTTTTTTCTCCAAGCTTTTTCCTCTTTTTCATTCTACGCTCCTCTGAAAATCACATATCTGTCTGGAACGTCGACAGCCCTTTCTAGATTAGCAACTTGACAACTTCCTCTTTGTCCCTCGCTCCCTTTCTCTCTCTCTGCCATATCCAGCCTCAGCTGCTACCTCCTACCCTGAACCATGAGATCGAACCAGGCACTGGCCGGGCTGGAGGAACCTCTCAGGTGATGTTTCCACTTTCACGTTGTCCTTATCAGGCTAGCAGCTTCTTCTGCCTCTGCTACTTTTTTCATAGAACTGCATTTTCTTTAGATGCAACACAGGATTTTCATGAAGGTAGTTACTGGAGACAGGCGAAGAAGGAACAGCTGATAGTAAGGTCAAACAGGAAAAGAGCATCTCTGACCTTCGCAGATTCCATGCCACGCTGTGGCCACTGGGGAAAGTAGGCTAACTGGAGAGTGGGCAAATTTGGGTCCTCAAATTTGGGTAAAGATTAGAATTAACCAAAGGTTTGAAAATCACATTTCCTTACATGGTTTTTAACAAACATGAGAGCACGTAAAACCTGAGCAAATACAATTGCTGAACACATCTAACTTCACCTTTGAGTGTAAGCAGACAGCTAGCTGCCTTACTACTGCAGTTACATAAAACTCTTCACTGCAGAGCAATAAGGCAAAGGATGCCAGGAAAAATGGGCCTCTCCTGAAAACCAATGGGCCTTCCTGGGCCAAAAGAGGACAGAAGGCAATTAGGACTTGGGGGAAAGAGGGGGGTGTATAGCATTTTTCTCCCCCTTTTATGTTATTACTAATCTTTTCAAATGGGTGTGCCTGGGGGCAAGAATCAGGAGATTTATGCATTAGGTGGATGCCCCTCCTTTGCAAAATGGACAAAAGAGTCAACTTGTGTAGCAGATGAAAGAAGTCAAAGAGCCCAGGGGATATGGCTCCAGACAAATGGGGAAGAGAAGAATTGGGGAGAGTCAGAACAAAACCTGAGATCTAGGGCCCTCTCCAGAGAGAAGCAGTGTGTGTCCTGGACTAAAGAGCAGAAGCTTTGGCCAGGCGTAGGAGTCCAATAGTGACCCGCTGCATGTGGTGAGCAGGAGACGCTGAAGAGGGAATCGTGCAAAAGACAGAGGTTTGTGAAAATGCACGTTTGAAGGGTTTTAGAACTTTTCACCTTGAGTATACCTACCAGCAGTAATGAGCAGAAAGAAACCTTAGGTGTGAAATAGTTAAAGGCTAAACAAGTAAGCATTTATGAAGTATCTGGGAAGCGTTAGGCACTGGGCTGAATGCTTTTACATACACGGTTCTCCTTTAATCTCCACAAAGATTCTGGGAAACATATCCCGCAGGCTCAGTTTACAACCAATTATAACTTCAGCCCATGGTCAAGGAGTAGGTGCCAAGCCTGGGTTGTGTGGCACCAAGCCCTGTGTCCTTTCCATAGCTATCTGGGCACCTGCTGAGTGTACATACTTGTAGGACATGGAGCACAGCTTTATTTATGAGTCAGGCAACTTCTTAAGGAAGCAGTCCAATGTATAAGGAGTCTGAGAAAAAGATATGAACAAACTGTCCTTCAGATTTGTACACGCAATCTAACAGGGCATTCCTAGCCCCTCGCCCCTTCTGAGAACTGCTCCTATAAACAGACAACAGAGGGCAGGCAAAGAGCACAAGGGAACCCATTCAGAGGATTTCAGCCCTAT